TGGGCATTGATGGTGGATCCAATAAAATAAAATCCTTGACAACTTCAATCTTTTCTCTGTTTTTCATGATTTTCTCTGTTTATCATGCTTATTGGACCAGTTGTGGGTTTTTTTTGTCTTCTGTATGTCAAGGTGTAATCCATACTGAAAGCTTTGATCTTCATCAGTAAGTACTTCAAGTGCTCTTTGCTTTCAGCAAGCAAGGGTGTCTCATCTGCATATTATAGGTGGTTAATGAGCCTGCCTCAAATCCTGATGCCACATTCTGCTTCATATAATCTAATTTCTTAGTTTCTTGAACTATTTGTTCAGCATAGAGATTAGATCAAAAAACCAAACTGACTGTGGTTTGAGTAGACCAGACTCATAGTGACCCCTCCTTGGGTTCCCAAGGCAATATCTCTATGGAAGTAGATTGCCCAATCTTCCTTCTGAGAGATCGAATAAGTATGGTGAAATAATACAGCCCTGACACATGCCTTTCCCAATTTTAAACTATTCTGGCCAAACGACTGCCTCTTGGTCTATGTGCAGGTTCCATATAAGTATAATTAAGTGTTCTGAAATTCCCATTTTTTGCGATGTTAATCATAATCTGCTCTGACACACATGGTCAAATGCCTGTGTATAGTAATAAAACTATGATCAAGAACTGATGGTATTGAAAGAAGATGTCCAGGTTGCAATGAAGGCACTGGTGAAAAATTGGTGCCAGGAATTGATAGAATAACAATTGGGATGTCTCAACAAATAGATGCAGTGTTGGAAGTGCTCCCTTGTTTGTGCCAAGAGATTTGGAAGACAGCCACCTGGCCAACCAACTGAAAGAGGTCTATATTTATGCCCGTTCCAAAGAAAAGTGATCAATAATAATGCAGAAATTATTGAACATTAACATCACATTATATAACTAATATCACATGCAAGTAAAATTTTGCTGAAGATAATTCAGAAATGGTTCCAGCAGAACATCAACAAGGAAGTGCTAGAAATTCAAGCCAGATTTATAAGAGAACATGGAATAAGGGACATATCATTGCTGATGTTAAATGGATCTTGGCAGAAAGCAAGGAATACCAGAATGATATTTATTGACTGTGTTTTATTGACTATGCCAAGGCATTCATTTAGATTTTTTATGGATGCTAATTTTAATATATAAAAGTTAAATAGTATAAAATAATGAGTGTATATGTTGTGATTTATTCAGCTGTGTGATTGATTGAATCTCTACATCCTCAAAAATACTGTTTCCAGGGGTCCTGCCAAAGCAAGAACCATGGCTTATTTTGGGGAAGGCAAGGGTCCCATCCATGTGGATAATGTGAAGTGCACAGGAAATGAAAGGTCCTTGGCTGACTGCATTAAACAAGATATAGGAAGACACAACTGTCGCCACAGTGAAGATGCAGGAGTTATTTGTGATTATTTTGGGAAGAAAGCATCAGCTATCAGTAATAAAGGTAAGTCACCGTTTGGGGTCCTATATAAGGCAAAGAGTATGAATTCCATATTCACTATAGTACTTTGATAACAAAAATCTTATGCAACAAGAATTTATACAATCCCTTGTTCCTTGTGAAATTATTTAAAGGCTGTGGCTCTTGACAAACTTTGCTTGGTTAGGCTTACTGTGAGAGCAAGGTTCAGGGGCTGGAGTGGATTTATAGGACCTTGTGGTCTCTGGAGCTCTGGTAACGTAGTGCCTAAGGCACTTGACTGCTAACCAGAAGGCTGGTGGTTCAAA